CGTCGATCGGAATGCTAATAAAGGTTTGCACGCAGTGCGCTAATAAAGAGCGCGTTATAAGGCCTTCCTCGAAGGCCGGTTCACGTGGACGGGCCACCCTTCGTGTGCCTGGCCACGCACGATTATGGATCTTCACGCGCAATTCGCACAGCCTACGTACTCCTATCCGTAGCCCTGTGATTCAATCCACGGCGACACCGATGCTTTTCTCGCGCGATCCACAATTATCGATCTAAGCATAGTTCCGCGCGTACTAAGCCATCACCTTGAATAATGATCGCGTTCTCTACAGGGGTTTTCGTGAACGTTCAACGGCTCGGCGCCGGTCTTCGCGACGAGGAAGCAGTTGAAAGTGATGTCTGCATCGCACTACGTGTGTTCCTTTGTGCGTAGAAATTATTAATTACCTTTGAGTAGGTTTATCTTTGACGGTGCAGCTTGTGCCATCATTTTTCATAACAGATTCTCGAGCTTCTATCGTTCAACTTAACGGTAAAACTTACTATGAGGAAGTCTCTGCTAGTGGTTTCGTATTACTTACTTTAAACATTGGTACGATGGACACGAGTACATGTTTAGCTGGAAGTTAATGTTATGCTCCCACCGAATATTATTTTAACCTATTTAGGGATATCGACACGCATGTGTACGTTTGCTTTTAGATAAAAAGCTTACGGTCGCAATACCTTTTTGGGTTTAAAAATATATCGCATTAAAGCGAGACAGCATAATTCTATGTGCAGCAATTACAATACAGCAATTACAATACAGCAATTACGTATCGACTATTATGCTGTTAATGATGTTTGGTATTCAGTGTATGATTAATAGAAATACTTTTATGATTGTCAGTGTGCTTCCATTTTTATTGTATTAGACTGTAATTTCTTCAAAAATGTTGACACCAACTGAAATCCTAATTATTACAATGTATACTTTTATCGACAAGGATCTCGTGGCATTAATCATGCAAGATGGCTTGAAAAAATGGTCTGTACTATTTAAAATTGTTCTAACGCGACGTTCACAGTAACAGTTATATCCTTATTCCTGTCTGAATCCACGCCTACACTATTTCGTTTGGAAACGGAATCGCTCCGACTAAATAGTTTTGCAATTTTAATACGCTAAAGCAACCACGACGCATTTAATTATAGATCTTCCTACAGTAACTGCACCAGTACGTCGGCGTCGTACCGTACTCTATCACGCAGTACAAATAACAGCATCAATTTCAATATCTATTACAAGATAACATCTCCGCTGTCCAAGAAGATAGATGGAAGACTTTGTATTCTACTATACAATTTCTAGTATCTGTTACGTGACAGCAACTCAAAGACATACGAGCGAATGTGGTTGATTAGAAACTTATCTTCTCAGTTATAGAAATGTGTTATACAAATTCAAAGGGAAAGCTAGTGCTGTATTTATGACCTAGAGCACAGACATCGTACGTCCATTTTTAATATTTCCGAGAAAAACAAGTTTCACGATTTAACGACACTTTGAAATTGAAGAAATAATTTCAGCATTTTATCAAGCACTAAATAATTATTTTACATATAAAAGCCGTACGAATATTCTGACACGATGAACAAAAATAATTTTCATGTCAAATTTACACAGCAGAGGAGGGTGTGGTATTTACGTGAAATAACGAAACTGCAAAAATATATTTGTAACATGGAAAAATGTATATTTTAGAAAAATTGAATGGACAATATATGTGTGTTGTAACGTTGATGTCACGCAATAAAAACAATTGCAATCACATTGATATTCAGCATAAAGTGGTACTCCAGAAACACAACCCAAGAGAGTAAAAAACATAACAGACTATTAAATTCTAGAAAAAGAACAGAAACAGTTTTAACCTATTCATGTACAGTAATCCCAAAAGTAAGACAGTTTGCTAATTATACAATAAGAAATGTTAAGATAAACAGTACTTTGATATAACATTTTATTTGTAAAACAAAAGTAAAATATGCATGGCCGAGTCCACTCGTGTTAGAAGTTAGAAGAATCTGACTACTTTATGGATCAAATTTATTTCGAGGGCCTAACTTTTCGTCTTCTTCCAGAAAATTATTATCAGATGCACGCGATAGATGTAAAAGTATCGATAGCAATCGATGGTATCGTTGCATCGATCCAAATGGAAAATTTAATGAATATCGGCTAAGAGGGACGGGCGTCAATTAAAAGACGCGTTATGAGGATCAAGATTCACGTCAGGGCCACCCTGGACGAGCATTTCCACGCACGATCACGGAGGATCGAGTTCAGCCCGATTATGTTATACGTTCTTGTGATTGATACCGGTCATTAACCGCATTCGTGATGTAATTAATGGGAATTCTTGGCGGTGTGCATGCAACGCGACCAAAAAGCTACTAAAGTAATGACACAGCGTAAAAATATTTTAATAACAACGACGTTAGCGGTTGCCGAGGATCTAGGAAAGCTTAAAATGGCTTTCGAAGTTACTGTGATATCAATAATGGAAAGCAAAGATATTTCGACAAAAATTTGCCAAACAAATGCTACGAAAAAATTGCTTCGACTTCTTTTTATCTTTCTGTATTAGTCCATCTTCTTATTATTAATATTTCTCTATAAATACGATGAATATAGATAACATCGAATATAATATCAAAATTCGTATTCTTATTCGGTATTATATTCTTTTAATGTCCTCGTCGTTTTTAACTATATGAAAAAAAATGTTTGAATGTTATCATAATGTTTGAAGTTTGTACGATCACGAAGGGTTAATTTTGTACCGCAACGTCGACCTCGAATAATCTTGAATAGAAAAGTCACAACAGTTTAACGAAAACGAGAAGCGAGAGCAGTAAGACTGTACATTTACGTAAATTTCGAATCATACTTTTGGACATGTCTGTCTCGAGATAAGGACCTCAAAATGTTTGAAATAATTCAATTATTACTCGCGATATGCTTAATCCCATCTCTACTCGCAGTTTCACACTATTCCATCGCGAACTTTCGCTACGGCATCACGCACTTTTCTGCGTGCGAATGCACGCGTACATCTGCTGGCACGTTGATATGTCGATATTTTTAGTTTCTCCGTCGTTTTTCAATGGATCGAGGTACGTGCCTACGCAAATGCCTTGCACGGAAACGTTCCTACAACCTTAGCGTTCAGACGTTTCTTCTGGTTGCTTGTTCGATTTCTGCTAATACGGTTCCGTAGTCTTTGCTGAATTTCTCACGCGATATGCAAATAATTAGGGACAATTAATCTTATTGAAACCAATTATATATATATCTATATATATATATAATTGGTATACATAAATATTATATTGTCATTTTTCATATTGCGTCGAGTTATTTGATTTCAACTTTCGATTTTGCGTGTTATTCTATATATACAATAATTGTATATTTAATTTCTAATGAGTTGTACAAAATTACTTAGACGTTACTGTTAACAATCTCCTTTCTGGCTTATAAAAATATGAAACACACACGTAAGTTACAATGTTCATTGAGCACGGAAAATTGTCTAGTAATATATGTCCAAATGCAACAGGTCACGATGTAATTCTAACATTTCAACGAAACAGGGACCGCAATAGATAAAAAACAATCACCGTATAAATTGTTGAAGCAGGAAGGCGTCCTTGTTGCAAGTGCTGTCTGACACGAGAGTCGTTTCACAGAGAAGATGGAATCATATAAACACGGGGTTGGTAAGATTGACCGTCACGGTCGGACGATTCTTTCGTTCGCGATGCTTTCGACGATTGACAAGAAAACGGAAGTAGAACCGAGCGCCCTGTCGTGTTAGGTCGATCAGAGATTCGACCTTCGTCCTCCGCGAAGAAGTTGAGGAGCCTCGGACGCTCATTAACCGAGCGATGTTTCGTCGACGTGCTTTTTCTAGGAGTAAACCGCGCGGCCATAAATTGCAATCAACGTTGGGGGACGCTCTTGCGGTGTTTTATACCTTCAGCGAATTTCGCGACCCCCCACTGACGTAGGAAAAAGCGTAATTAAGGTCTGGTTACCGAAGAGTTTCGTGAGCAACGTGGTACACGCGATTTTCTCCGTCCAGTCACGAGTATTTTCCGTGTTTCCAAGAACTGTATTCTTCGGTCTAACGATCTCCCACTATTCTTATTTATTTTTGCACGCGATAAGCATGCTTTATTGCTTGTATTGTTTGGACTTGATTTATTCAATGCATACGCAAGAACTATTTTAGTATAAAATAAATTAAACGATCGATAAATTAATGTAGCTAAGAATCGAATGTGAAAGATCTTTCGAAAAGTTACAAAACGATACATAACACTTGCGTATAAAGTAATTTTAATGACTTCAAAAAATTGCACGAACTGAAACATCGTAAAAAAACGTACAAACTTTTTATTCGCCCTAATATATATGTTCAATTACATTTTAAATAAAGTACACGTGATTGTAATTAAACATGATCGAATGTGTCCACTACGCCACGTTGACAGGGATATTTTATTATTAACAACAAAACCCGGAAGCCTCTTTTATGAAACCCTTTACTTCATACTCTTTCCACGTGCCGCCTGCTCATATATTTTTCTCGAAATCTCTGTATACACGCCATGTTTTACTTTGCTTTCTCGCGCAATTTCAATAAGAATACTTCAAGATAATCTGCATTTTCACCAAATTTCCGTCAGCATAAATTTATTCTACATACATAACCACCAACAAAACTTGCTAGACTTACGATGTCCCCTCATAGGGGACATCCGAGTGCGAAGAGTTAAATGCTGAGTGTGCAAATATTATTTTATCCCACAGTATATTTAGCCATATCGATCTCGAATTCTGTTATATATCGTGTATAAAAGGCATACTGATAAATATAAACGGAAAATACACGACACGGAATTTGTACAGTGACACGATACAAGCTCGCATAAATTAGCGAGCACGAATCCCACTCTTTACCCCGCGTTTATTAGTCTCTCACTCACCGTATTTGAGCCCGTGCCACTTCGAAGCGGGCTCCTGATATTTCGGATAAGTCGGGAAGAAGTGTCTGGACGGCTGTCTCGACGACGAAGGACACGGCTTGTAAACAACCATGCATCGTACGCACTTCCGGTTCGCGGGTGGAACCGCTGGGACAGGATAAGCTGGCTGTATGTGAACGTACGCCATGGGGGTGACGGGTTGCGGCGAATAGTAATTCATGTATCTCTTTCGGCGAACAGCGATTCGCCTCTCACGCTGAGAAGCAGCCACGCGAGGGAACAAGGACGACCCGTCGTCGCTCGATCCTGTCTCCACACGTTTTACACCATTTTCGATATCCGACGACACGTCCGAACCGACTCGTTCATTCACAAACTTCCCAGCGTCCGTTAACTCTTCTCTTGTAGTCAACCGTTCGCCAATCAATGGCGAGACATCCGACACTCTTTCCTCGATCGTTTCGCTTCTGGGAAGAAACGAAAAGAGAAATTCCGTTTTACTTCGACGACCGAGACGATCCCTCATCTCGTATCTGTTCATCTTCCCGTCACTTTCGGTGGATTCCACGTCGATCGGGCGAAAATTCGCGGAAAGATCGCTGCCCTCGGGCGACGAATCACGAGATCTCGTTTCGCGTCTTCCTCTTTCAAGGACCTTTCCGTGATCCCGTTCTCTCGACCGGTCGTTACGGCTTCCGAACGCTTCCAACAGCTTTGCGGAAGATCGAGCCGGTCTATGATCCTCGTGAAAAAAAGGATGGAGATCCTTCGTCGTTCCATCGACGCGCCGCGCGGTTCCTGATCTCGCCAGAGGAGATTCGAAGGACGAGACTAATTTAACGTTTCGCTTTCTGCTCGAGCTTTCCTCTCCGTCTAAATTTTTATCAGACTTTCGAAGAGAAGTTTCGAGAACCAGGACTTTCGCCAGGTCGAAGAATCGACCGGAACTTTGGATATCATCGACGGATCCCTTCGAGAATCCTGAGTCGCGAGTCTCGGTGACACTATGGTCGATTAACTCGGCCTCTTCGATCTCACTTGTTAATTCCCGGGGATTGAAAATTTCAGAAGATAAATGATACGTCTGCGTCAGATCACCCAGTCTCCCGACATTCTGTTCTGTGTTGCCATAGTCCCCGGCATCGTTTCCTATCGAATAACGCTCGAAAGGAACCAGTCTGCTGTTCGTCTCTATCAACTTGCTCCCTTCGATATTATTTTCACTCCCAAGTTCCTCATCGTTGATCGTAAATAAATTCGAGTCTACGTCGACGGAGTAGCTTCGCCTCGAATTCTCCTCGACTTCATTCATCGGTTCTCCATTCACGTCCCGCGAGAAATTCTCCTTTACGACACTCCCTTCACCAACTCCCGTACCATTCAACGCGCCACGAGTCCCGCCATCCTCGTTCAAAAACTGATTTTCATCTCGTCCCATCCCACCTTCTACGCGCCCGAACACCGTGGACGTCTCGTCGCGCACTTCATTCCGCGGCGATTTCGAATCGCTCTCTTTCCCAAACCGCCGATAATCCTCCGAACGTTCGCTCTTCTCCCGATCGGTCGGAAGCGACGTTTCCACCGAATAATCGGGCCCATCGTCCCCGTCGGATTCGACATTTCTCCATTCGGAATAAACCCCGTTGAACGCTCCTGTTGAACGTGGATCCTGCCGCGACCCGACCGTCACTGGACCGTCGTCCAGCGTGTTCACCTTTTTCGTGTCTGCTTGTTGGATCCGCGGAGATCGAGATGACGCGACGGTCACGACGAAATAGTCCCTGAGCAGAGAGCTCGAGTCCCTCGAGATCGGATCGATCCCGTTGACGTGCTGCGACGCGGAGGCAGACGACTCGTCGCCGTCCGAGTCGAACCTGCATCCCAGCAAAAATAGGGCCCCTAGTCCGAGGGCCAGGACGCCCCGGGTCCAGATTGACCTTCCGAGGTACATTTCTACCCCATGCTCAGAGGAAGGACTGGCTCGTTCGTTCGCGCTCTCATCTCCTGGGTAAAGCACTCGACGGATTTTCTTTTCTAGGCCCTTGGTTTCACTCGGCGGAACCGACACGACCGCTTTCACCGTGGATTCGTTTCGAAAGCTCTGATCAAGTTTCCGAAAGCTCGACGAGTCAAATACTCGAGTCCTCCGAAGTTGTCGGACTATTCTGTGTCCTGAATGTGTCTCGTGTCTCCTGTCTCGTTCGAGTACAGAATCACTCGGCGGAGGATCGATTAGAATTCTGCCACGTCTTTTTCTCCCCGGAGGAATGATCGAGGGTGCATCGTTTGATTTTTGTCACGTTTACGTCTCCCGATAAAGAGAACGCGAGGGAATTGTACCTCTACCGATTTTCAGAATCGATGGCGTTCAAAGATTCCGGGAACTACCTAAGCTCTCGCCATCGACCAGCTGAGAGAGCTTTGATCTTCTCGTGGAATCGTTAAACTTTCACCTACGACTCGTACGAGTCAGCGGAGTACAGAATCACTTCGCGAAGATGTGCTCAAAATCCCAGCAAGTTGTTTACTTCCTGGACCTGAACTGGTTCTAGTTCATTTCTATTCGAGATTTGGTCTCCGACTTCGTTCAACCGTCATCTCCTGGAAAAGGACGCGAGGAAGTTTGGCTTGTAGGGCTCGTATACGTGTAAATATTGTTTGGGAAGCCAGGAAGCCTCGACGAATTCAATGATTCCAATATTTGAAGGTCTTCCGGTGATACAGAACGACTACCACCTACGTCTCGAAGGAGCTAAGCACAAAAAGATCGCTCAGCGAAGGCTCGCTTGGAACTCTGGCCGGCTCCTCTTTCGAACAACTGGATCAGTTTACTTCTCATCGAGGTTCGCAACACAATTTCCGTTACTCTTACGCCGTACTTGAATCTCTGCGCCTCAGAAGGAGCAGCTCCGCAAGAACGATCGCTGGACCACAATTCGAGCAACCACCGCGAATTAATCCGACGCGGGCTCGGTAACCGCCGACACGAATGGTAAATCACTCTGGTTTTTTACACTCCCCCGGAAAGGAGGCTCTCGAGGATCTGCAAGATCTCGTTCCAGGCTCCGTTGTTTTTCCGTCGACGAATTCACTCGAGTGAGAATTCAGTCCTCGGACGATTTTCACTGGCGTTCCGGATTCACCGGACGGACCGTTCGTACTTAACGAGAGGATGGATGGAGGATTCATCGGGACGAAAAGTCCTTCGGCTCGGTAGGGATCGGTGGACGGATCGCGAAGGGAACGAGTATGGCGGAAGAGAAAAAGAAGGTTCACCGAGCGGAGAACTCGTCCGGGCGATCGACGAACCGCCAATTCCCCGAGGTTACAGCATCGAGGCGGCTCGACGGCTGGAAATGTCCGGAAAAAAAAAAAGATCGGATAAAAAGTCGAGCACACGTGGACCACGACGAGAAGTGAATATGTACCGGCGTCGACGGCGGCCCGAGAGACACTGACTTGCTACCATTACCATTAGCTGCCTTTGCCCTCTCCCCTCTTCCTCGTCTTCTTCGTTCGTGGCTCGCTTCCTTCTCCTTCCTGCGGGAAACCCGAATCTCCGACGTGCTCGCTATGCAGGGCACGTGGGTGTTGCGCGACTGGCTCCGGGACCAAGGATATGTCGCGGGAGGTGCTCCCGTTTCCGATCTCCTTCCTGTTTCGCGCGTGTTCGTCGCTCGCTGGCCCGCGGTGCAGGATATCGCATTGCGATTTAGGCTACGTTATTTCATCGGTATCGTCGACGTGAAATCCGATCAGACGGGATATAGCTGCTTCGTAAAAGGAAAATAAAAATGAAATGGGAAAATTGTTTCATCGGTTTCGTCTATGTAAAGTACAATCAAAAAGGAGCTAATTAAGAAGCTCCTAATACGAAACCGTGTCTCCCACTTAATGTTGAATCGCTCGTTGCGAAACCTAATATCGCAGTTTTTCTATGTACTTTTCTATGTACATTTCTTCAAAGAACGTAAACTGCGGATATAATGTACACGTAAACTGTATTATACATACTACTGTATACATATATGAACCTTATATGAGATTCTCGAATAATAAAAAATAAAAAGAAAGGTCATAGGTCTGCTTAGCGAAAACAGGTATTAGAGAAAGAATGGTCCTTTTAACAAGATATCGAAGGCTGGGCAAGAAAATCACAAATACTTCATTGATTAAACAACATTGAAATTGAAATTAATTCAAGACGGACTGAAAGTATGTATTATTCGTTTCGTTTATATGTTACAGATTTATCTTGTTTATTTCGATAGGATACAGAAGATTCCAACTCTACTATTGCGTGACTTTTGAAATTGTTAAAGTCTTATGGAAGATACGTATTTATCATTTAATCTCTTTAAGAATGACCTTAAAAGTTTTTATTGGTTTTTCCAAGCACTTTTCACGCTCAGTTAATCTCCGCTTTACTCTTTGTCTTTGCTCGTCCTTCAGAATGACGTCCATCGAGGAAGTGTTCTCTGACATTCAGTTTTATCGCCTTGCCGCTATAACCCAACCTGATACTAAACATAAATTTAAAGTCGATGGTAAAAACCGACAGGAAGTGAATTTACACGGCCATCAATTTTAATAAAAGCGAGCAAAACAGATCAGTCAGAGTCAGCTATGTTAAGATAGTTGATATTTGATAGCGATTGACATCCGTACACCATGCATTTTTAATCTGAATTTTCTTGAAAATACACTCTTGCATAGAAAGACATTACTCTTCACTTTTGACTGATTTTTTAACAAAGAATCATTACTCATTTGCTTTATCATAAATCACGTCCTGTCCTCTGCTCCATTTTAATAGCATTAAGATAAATATTACATCGTGTGACTTCAGAATCTGAGACAGTTATTTTCCTTTTCGTAATACAATTGCACAGCTTATTACAATTTATTTTCCCCTGGCTATTTCGTGTATGAATACATCAAATTACCTAAACTGATCAACTGCATTTAAAAAAAATAATATAATGTACTTTCTTTTCACACTATTTTATTTTTAATTAAGACACCGAAACATAAATATCCTGGTATTCGATTTAGTATAAAAAATTCATAAAAAATATGATCATGTAATTATTTCTAATAGCGTGCGTCGAGAAGTATACACTTCTATTCATTTTATGACTCAATGATAATGTAATAGATTGGTAACGAAACGAAGAATTTCAAAAGTAGTTTTTGATTCGTATACATAAAATTCCGTTCAAAGTATAATATTCTAACATTTCAAAATAAAAATGCACCGTGAAGGATTTATTGCGTTGCAAATACACTTGCAGAATGGAAAGATAAATTTCAAACCCGTTATGTAAATTAAAGCCCGAGTCCATCTGTTCAGTTTTTGTACTTTTCTTTTCCGTTTAAATTTTTCTGCTGTGAATCGATAACATTACGACTTTTGCAGTAAAAAATCTGTGCTTTGTCCTACATTTGCAGTGGCCTGTACCATAGCAAGCATTGACGAACACACCTGTCCTTGTCATAGTTAGCAAACACAACGTCTTCTTATCTAACGACTAAACAATCGATAAGAAGGCACTGCAGAACTAGCTGTGGCCTACTTTCGTAATATCAACACCAAACGTTGTAAACGTAACATTTATTTATAGTACATATGTTTCTTGACTAATTATAGAGTCCTTGCAATCGGCTTAGAATTAAAACGCAAGTTCGTTTACTTTCACAAATTATATTTGCTTCATCTTGACCACTAGTTGTAGAGACAATTAACTGCAGCAATAGAAATCACAGATTTAGATGTTTCTAATTTAATAGAAACAGAAAATTTACAAACGAATACATATAATTTACTTTTTGAACGGGCTTCGAAAAGGAGGAGATTACTCAATTCGACATGTATATTTCGTTTATGATAACTGTCGTTTACAAATGATCTATTTCCGTTATCTCTAATGCAACCATAATGTGTGTTCACAATTTAATTATTTTTTATACTATGAAGAAGTGATGGTATTTAGTTCTTTTAACTCGCTAAGAAAAGAAACCACAACAAAATTTTCTATCGACTCCGAGATACAATAACTTTTCCAAGGATCTGATACAATATATTGATTAAGCTTGTACAAAACAAATACGGACTTTGTGCCAATTATTTCACGTACGTCTATTTCTTATTTCAACGAATACAAATATTTGAATCTTTTTCACTCGTCTAACGAACTCCAATTACGAGATAGTTATGATCGACCTCTTCGATTGTCAAACGATAAAACGTAACTATTCCCCGTATAAGTATTAATCATTTTTTGCATCAGTCCCTCTTGTTCAGTACACGCGTGCCATTCGCTGCAATATTTATGCACCGTGGATTACAAATGTGCCATGTGAGATCCAGTCGCGTAACTATGATTTTTCGGTAAGGAATCATTTTGGACCTCTCAGTGTGAAAATAAATCGTACTTACGATCTTCTTAAAATTCATCGGAAATTTTAAAAATATCGAAATGCGTACAATGTGTTTAGTAAATACAGTTTAACACAAAATCACACTACAACTGTTAAATTAATATTTATTCGATAGAAAATGATACTCCGTCTATTTGACGAACGAACAGTAGTAACTATTGTAGATTTGCTGCGTGAAATCTTAATGGCGACCGAGTGTCGCCTCTCGAGTGCAAAGGGTTAATCTAATCCAGATTGTCAACTCAATGGAACTCTCCATCGTTGGCTACTCTCGCGAAAAGCTACCTACGCTGCTGGTGGGATCGCATTTCGTAAAACGTCCCCTTTACTTCCTGTTAACATATTCCGCGGCTAGAAGGAAAGAAGTCGCGCGGAGGTCGCGAGATATCGACTGTCAACCGATATATTCCTTGGACGAACTCCCGTTAATTACGCGAGCGCGGATCCCGCTCGGATTTCCCTTCCGGCATTCGGACAGGGAAGAATTTCAGCTGACGAACTGGGTGGAATGCGACGCGGCCCAAAGAGGATTCCGCTGGTTAGGATAAACGGAAACACCGCATGCCGCACATTTACGAAGTTCCCGAGTCCTCGTGCCACGATAAACGATAAACGTTTATCGAGCCTTAATTGCGGATCATAAGCGCGATTCTTCCTCGT